TCCAGAACCGATAGTCGTCAAACCAGGTTTGCGGGTAGGATTCGATTTGTATGGCTGCCTGAAGAGCAGTGGTGAAGATCAAGGCGGACAGGACGGTCTAATAATGCGGAAATGGTTAGACTGCGATGAGATCATCAACACCGGACGCGGGGACTTTCGCACCAATTTCGCATAGAAATGCCAGTTCTTGGACACCGGCTGAGGCACTCTCTTCTTGAACAAGAGCCAAAGGGCTCCTGCACCTGCGATAATGCCCCATACCGCAACCAAGGAGACTCCAAAGTCGAGGAAACACGGGGTCAGGTCGAATCTGAACTGACTGAGAGGACCCCAGCCTTCCGGGTCGTGGCAAAATGGCTGCGGTTTGGGGGAGAGGAATGCTGAGTTCGGGGTGGACGACAGCAGAGATCCCCGGCTGGAATCCCCGAGGATGGACTGGGAACCACCGCCTTCCAACATTTTCCCCGGCTGAAGGTTACCGTATCCCAGCTCCTAGATCGCTCGTCCTTTCGGATCTGCAAAGGAAAAAGAGGGAACGATGAACAAACCCTAGGGTACCGTCTGGGGGGAAAGGCCTGGAGGGAAAAAGATCGTGGGAAGAAGAGAAATGAAAGTTCGAGAGAGGGACGATAACGAGAGGGAAAGGAAAGGCTGATTTGTTAGTGAGATGCACGCTGCTTACTAAATGTGACGGTCAAAGCTTCTGCGCGATACGGAGACGTTACCGGAGCCCGGCCGTAAACCGAACTGCATGTACTGTACGCCCGGCAAGTTTAGTTTCTGTGATAGGGAGGTGTTCAGATTGATGAGTCACAAGTCTTGACAATTGAGAAAAAAAGGGCATGCAATTGGAAAGTCGGGCAGAGTTGCATCCCTGCGCCTTGATCTTGGAGAAGGAACGAGGAAGAAGAAGAGGAAATAGTAGAAGTCGAAATGACATAATCCGATCTGCTCGTGGTAATCGGTCTTGGCATCCCCGACTGGGTCTCCGACTACTCCGGACCTTCAGTTTCTCTCCAGAATACACCTTTTGTCTTGCGGGCCTCGATAGTTCAAGCGTCACCATGGCTACGTTAGGTGCATAGATTGAATGAGATCCGAATTGCTCAGAGCAGATATGTATGCCCTCTGTTATTATGATTCCAGCCTAGACACTGAGAGATGATATTTCTCTCGAAAGATTTGCGACATGACCTCCACGTGCTTGACTTAGACTACAGTATGAGCTATGTACTGTACTATATCGTTGCATCTCATGCTGTGCACAGTACCACGAGTCAACACGCAATGACATGTGCGGTCTCTGGTATACCTTGGTCTTTTTCTCGTGTTCACAAGGCGTAAGCGCGCGATAGAGTGGGTGAACTGAAGGCAGGGCAGCCGATGTCATCCAATAATATCTACTTGTTTTAGTCAAGCAATTTATGGATAACGAAGCTAGGAATTCTTGAGTCTAGGTCGAGCAGTGTTCTATCTGGATATAGCACAGCTAGCACGTTACAGTAAGGGTCATTATGTACTTACGATACGCACGAAGATCAATAGTATCACTTCTCCACTTCTCCAAAGGGACATAGGGACATACTATCTACTGCTTCATCACACTCAATCTTATTCATATTCATAATGTCCTTGATGGCATCAACTGACCGCTCGAGAAAAGTGAACTTATAGTTTCAGGTAGTTTCCTCCGAGCAACGTTTCGGGGCTTATCTCCGGGCGGGTCGACCTCTAGGCTGGCTAGCGGGTCCCTTCCCCCTCGACAATCCAATCACACCCCGAAGATTCCGGAGCATGCCATCGTGGATTCGAATTGCGAGCCTCATCGTGCAGCATTAGTGAGAGTTACAGGGGCGAGAATGAGATCTTCAAAATCTTGTGCCTGACCAGAGTTGGAAGTCCGAGTCGTGAGTGATGCTTGGACTTCACGCCAGCAGGGGTCCTTCTCCGTCAAGCGCACTGCTCATCAAATACGGAAGCTCGGCAGCCAAGCTGAGGCAAACCGGTCGTATTACATCATGATATTGGTGTTCGGGCCCGACGATCTAGGCCTTATCTCCGGAGTACGCTTTTCCGAGCGCAGATTGTCGGAGGCTGTTACTCTCTCGTATTTACGTCCTGGGTAGCGATTTGCTTCTGAGCAGAGCAAAACCAATAAAGCGGTCCGAACTGCCCAACTGGGGTCTTAGTAAGTAAATCTGCTGCTCGCTGCCTGTTTTGTACGGATAGCATCAAGCCTATTCTTTTATAATGTACTGTGATACACAGCTTGAACTTTCCAGACGATTACCAAAGCAGCTGGAATTTGTCGCGATGGAGATGCCCCGTTTCTCTTCGAGATCGTTCTAGGCTATGGCTTAGACAAATTAAATCGTTAAAGCAAAATTAAGACAGCGATCACTGGCATTCGACGGGTCATAGTCAGTCATATCACAGGAAGTCGTGACAATTTAGAGCTGTATGAGCAGCCTTCGGCTCTCTTATAGATAGAGGATGCTCTGCCTCGAATCTAGAGTTCAGCAGTAAAGTATACCATGGAACATAGTTGCAGCTGGAATAAGTAGCCACTGGCTGCTGCGGTCTGCCCACCGCTCACATATGAATCAAACGATGCAAACTAGTCCTCGTGGGTGAAGGCGGTGAGAAGCCCGGACGGCGGGGTCCATTCCGCAGCGTCATTCCGTCATTCCTTCATTATGAATCATTCTAAAAAAAACCATCTACAGCAAATTCCATTTCTCAGTGGGTTGACGATGGTTGCAGAATCTACGGTGGAAGACCTCTTGAAAAGGCCTCTATACGGTGTGTAGATTACTCCCCCTTGTACTCTTTATAACCCATATCGTTCGTTTTCGCAACGCGCTTGCTGACACACATGAAGTTTATGATCTACCGCAGGAGCTTCTCTCCACCTTAACTACGAAAGGCGGCGACCAAGCGCTCTCAATCCAGAATGGTGACGATGTGACACCTGAAGAGTCGAAAGAAGAGGTACTGGAACATGCGATCGCCACATCGAACAGCTGTCCCCTCTGCAAGGTCACGTACCTCAATGTGCAGGAGCAACGCGATCATGTGCGATCGGACCATCACAAATACAACCTGAAAGTGCAGCTCAGGGGCGGTCCCACTTTGGACGAGGTGCAATTTTCGAAGGCGATCGGGGAGCTCGACGAGTCGATATCCGGGTCTGAGTCTTCGGAAGGGGAGAACGAGGAAGAGGAGACCCAGCTTACGGCCCTGCTGAAGAGACAGGCCAAGATATCTCAGGAAGCTCAGGAGGAAGAAGATTCGCCTTCAAACAAAAAGACCGCGGGTCGACCGCCGCTGTTCTGGCTTTCAAGCTCCGCACTGCCGTCGAACGTCTCGCTCGGTGTCTACAGGGCTTTGTTCTCGGATGTTGAGCAGGATGAGCCCCAGCACCTCGTCGCCTCCCTGCAGAAAAAGCAACTCGTGCCCATCAGTGCACCCCGAAATGCTGCAGATGAGCAAGCGAAGCCACCTCCTCCCAGTCCTCATATCTTCATGTGCATGATTGGTGGTGGCCACTTCGCCGCAATGATTGTGTCACTGGCCCCCGAGATTCACCGGAGACAAGGTGGCATTGAGGATCGCCAGGCTCGGGTGATTGCCCACAAAACCTTCCATAGGTATACAACGAGAAGGAAGCAAGGTGGCTCGCAGTCTGCGAATGATGCGGCCAAGGGGGCCGCGCATTCCGCGGGTTCGAGTTTGAGACGATACAACGAAGCGGCGCTTGAGAAGGAAATTCGAGAATTGCTGTCTGAGTGGAAGCAATTGATTGACGAGGCGGAGCTGCTGTTCGTTCGGGCCACCGGGAGCACAAACAGGAGAATTCTGTTCGAGAAGTACGACGGCCAGATGTTGAGACAGAATGACCCAAGGCTTAGAGGGTTCCCGTTCAGCACACGCCGGGCCACCCAAGCCGAGCTTATGCGGTGCTTTAAGGAGCTTACGCGGGTCAAAGTGAGCCAGGTAGACGAAGCCGCCCTTGCAGCTGCGGCGGCCAAAGCAAAGGAGGTGGCATCAAAGCCGTCAACACCACGGCCGCAGCAGCAGAAGCCCAAGATCTCGAAAGAGGAAGAGGAAGCCATACTCCACACAACACAGATTCAAGCGCTGATCCGGCGTTCCAAGATCCCCGCTCTGATGGCATACCTTTCGAAGAATTCCATCCCTTCATCCTTCAGGTTCCGTCCCTCAGATTCCCAGCAAAACTTCCGCTGTCCAACGTCACTCCACTTGGCTGCCAACCTCAACTCCTCGGCCATGGTTCTAGCGCTCTTGACCAAGGCCGATGCGGACCCGACGACCGTCAACTCTGAAGGAAGAACACCCTTTGAACTCGCAGGCGACCGTGCCACCCGCGACGCTTTCCGCATCGCTCGCCATGAGCTGGGCGAGTCGAAGTGGGACTGGACCGCCGCGAAGGTCCCGGCACCCATCTCCAAGGACGATGCGAGCAGCCGGCTGGAGCAGGAGCGGAAAAGCGCCGAGGAGGAGGAAGCCACCCGACGCAAGGCCGCGATGGCGCGCCTGCAGAAAGAGGAGGCCGCCCGCGCAGCCGAACAAGCCTCCAGGAAGCCGGTTGGCCGTACCCTGGGGGCCATCGAGAAAACGGCGCAGGAGAAGAGGGAGGAAGAGATGCGCGGGATGACGCCGGAGATGCGAATGCGACTGGAACGAGAGCGGCGCGCGCGAGCGGCTGAAGAGCGCTTCCGACGCATGCAGAGCGGCAATTAAACTGAGCCGTGAAGTGGAATCTTGTGACTTGACTTACTGTAGCGTTGCGAAGAGAGCATATGATACCTTGGTATGAATATAACGAATGATTATGCTTGTCCACGAACATCTTCTCTGCCTTATGAGTGCAGTACTGTACACCACCGAAACCCCTGCAAACAACCAAACCCACCCTCTCCCAGCCCCATCCCAACTAACCCACCACACCACCATGAATGCCATGATAACCATCACCACCTCTTCGCCAAAACCAAAACAACCGGCCACGAAAACGCCCTCTTCACCCCCGTCCTCATCACCCCCTCCAACACCCTCCAAGCCCCCGCATCCTCGACCCCCTCCACCCGCTCAGCCGGCACCAACCCCCCCACAAACCGCCTCAACTCCCGCACATCCCAATCCCTGCGCCACAGCCCACGATCCTCTACCTCCACCACCTTTTCCAGGCCCCACCGCACCCGACTCACGGGCCTCTCAACCACAAACCCGCCCGCCCAGCCCGAAAAGAACCCCAACCGCGCCCACCCTCGATTCCACTTATGTCTCTCGACCGCGCGCCACTCGCCCGCCGGAAAAGCAAGACAATCCAACCAGCTCGCCACGGCATCGGCCTCGCGCTTGAAGCCTGCGCGCTGCGCCGCGGGGCCGCGCTGGATGACGGCGCGGTACAGCCGGTCCACGATCCCGTCCAGCAGTGGCTGGCACTCGGCGGCGAGGGCTGGGTCGGAGAAGTGCGGGAGGCCGTAGAAGGCGATGGCGAGGGTTCCGGCGCCGTGGGGTTTGAGGACGGTGTGGATGCTCCGTAGAGCGGCGGCGGGGGAGGGGAGGAGCGGGAACATGAGGGCGCTGATGATCAGGTCGGCGGAGGCTGGGGGGAAGTGCGTGGCGAGGTGTTCGGCGCGGGTGAGGGTGTATGTGAATTGGCGGGGGGAATTGGAATTGGAGCTGTGCAGGTTTCTGGCGTAGGTGAGGTGGCGGGGGTCGATGTCGCTGACGTTGACGTGGGAGAATTTGTGGGAGAGGGCGAGTGCGACGTGGCCGGGGCCGGCGCCGATGTCGTGGGCTACGGTGAAGGTTGGTGCTGTGGAGGAGGGTGAGGCTGATGCATGGTAGTTGTAGATCTGGTTGTAGAAGGAGGCGGGGTAGGTGGGACGCGTGAGGAGGTATTCGTTCCAGTAGGCGGTTGCGTCGATGTTTGGGGAGACTTCCCAGCTGCGGTGGTGCGAGGTTGCAGTGAGGGTTCTTCGGGGCGGATTTTGGAGGTTGGAAGCACTGGTTGGGGTGAGCTGGTGCTGGGAGTTGATTCCGCGGACAAATAGCTGTGATCTATTCGGGATACGGTGCATTGTTGGGTATATGGTGTGTATGGGTAGATTGGTGTTTGTCTTTCTGCTTTCCAATGCAGAACTGAATCAACAATTGAGACTGTAGACTCATAGCCCCTTTTTATAGCAACAGGCGAGGGTATGAGAGTTTGCTACGCGAACCATGGATGATGCAGCTTCATTGCGAGTTTATGTCAAGCTGTCAAGCCACTTGTAGATCCATGTACTCGCCTATTTGGCGGCGGTCAAACTGCACGTGTGAACCATCGGCTCGGAACGAATGACATTAGCCCTGTCTACGTTGAGTGTTGTCATGTTCGACTTGACTCTTACCTGGACCGGTAGGACGCCGACTGGGTTGAGACACAAAAGTCGATTACTTCATGACTAGCATTAAGGCAAGGAGACCTGACCTAGTTTGTAGGATAGGACTCCGATAAGCTTTGAGCAATGAAGCTAGTTCAAGCTATTTAGGTGGGTATCAACTACAGCAATGGTAAAGTAGGGACCCCATTCAGTAACTTAGCCTCTGTGGCTTCGCCCGTTGTTTTTATCATGTAGTCCCGACTCATTTTTCATCTTCGCCTCCTCTTCCTCCTCCTCGATTACAGGAGCAATATATCGTGAGCGCCAAAACCCTTTTACCTCTCATTTTAGTAGCTGAGCAATGTGACGCTATAGAGGTCAAAGACCGAGTCTATATCAGCCAGCCATGACGACACTCAAATCTCAAACGGGCACATTCCTTTCGTGCAAAGGGAAAAGTACACAATAACCGGGCTGCTGGTACACCATCTGCAGTTCACTTCTGGAAAGAAGGCGATCCTGATGTATGGAAAATTGAGTCCAACTGCCAAGATCAACCTCATCGCTTCAACAATCCATGACTCCGCATGTCATCTTTTCAACCAAAGTACATCGAACTTGCTGTCTTCTTTCCAACCAGAGTACATCGAACCCGCGGAGAGAGTGCCGTTTCTGCACAGCCTGAACTTACTACTCCACCACATCGATCCTCTCTTACGCCTACATATCTCCGTTGGGCCGAGCAATTTGATGCAGTACTCGAATATGGTACATGACTAGGGTGTATCTAGACCATTCGCGGTATCCAAGCCGAGGGCTGAAAGCCCTGACTGGAGTCCGACCCGGCACCATGCAAAGGGAAATGTAGAATCGATGGCCATTCAATTTAGGCTGACAAGGTAGGTACATGAACCTGAAGACAGGCTGACTCAAACAGATCTTAATGAGAGTTGGATGATTGAATCACCATGAACAAAAGAATGACGACAAACGATAGCACACCCTCAACCTTCAACCCCCCGCCCCCGCTTCCAGAACCTCCACATACTTAGAAGTCGAAACGAAACAAATTCTACGCGAAGGTGCGTGTCAGCCAGTGGAGTACCTCACAAATAGGCAAAACGTACCCCGACTCGCCTCCAGCAGCATATCCCACCCCATTCGCGACCGACCAAAGCCACCACCTCACAGACATTCCATGGACGGAGTGCCAGCCCCACACTGACAGCCCGAGTGGCCCTCCTCGGCCATACAGACACACCCATCAGACAGGGCATCGGTGGTGCCAGTGTCGAATCCCACGCCGGAGCAGGAAGAGCCCGTGCAGCATTGGTTGAGCAGGGACTGGGCGTAGCCGTGGATGTAGGCGACATCGACCGCGTCTCCCTGGGGGAAGAAGGAGAAGGTGCAGGAGCCGGATGTCCAGTAGGTATTGTCGTTGCCGCTGACGGTCCCGGAGGTGGGGATCAGGGCAAAGGCCGCGTAGCAGTCGGAGCTGGTTGCTTGCTCGCAGTCGCCGCAGGTGATGGTCGAGCCGGCAATAGCGGTGGTGGCCAGGGCGGCCAGGGTGAGGCAGGTCTTGGGGTTCATAGTTGATGTAGTGTATGGAGTAAAGTGTATGGAGTTTATGCTCGAGTCTCGTGTGAATTCAGAGCTTTGAGGGAATCTGAGGTGGTTGGAATGGATGTTGGAGTTCTGGAGTTGGGTGAGGGTATTTATACTTCTATGCTGCTATACTGCTATACTGCTAACTGCTATACTGCTAACTGCTATACTGCTAACTGCTATGCTGCTATACTGCTATACTGCTAACTGCTATACTACCATACAGCCATACAGCTATGCTGAATCTATCTTTCCGACGGACGACCGGCCAAATTAGCCATCCTTCACAGAGGATTCAGCCCCCGAAGTACGGGGTTCTCCACCTCCCCAGCCCGTTGGTCGAGAGGAAGACTAAAAACAGGTTATCCCCGGGGGGCCTTACTCCAAGGCTGTGCTGGACATGGGATCTGGGCAGTTGACATCATATCCCATGCATGACACAGAGGATACTCGCGTAGCCCCCGGGAGAATCGGACAGATTTGGTTGTACCTTGTCGAGCTCGATCAGATTTGTGGCCAAAGTGAGTTTCTGACAGCAGGAAAGCCTTCATTGAATCCAAACAGCCACGAGAAAGCACAATTGAGCAATTGCTATAGATACTAATACATACAAGAAAGAATCCCAAGCATCGCAGCAGTATGCGACCCGGGATTCGACCCTAGAGCCCTATACAAGCCTTAAATATTAAGCTTTAAGCCGCGTACTAAGGCAAACTAAGCTTCCTCAGCAAATCAAGCTAACCGAAGAACAGCCCCACAAGTTCCTCCCAGCCTATAAGAGCCTGTATACAGAAGTCGCCGCGGTGGATAAGCAAGCCCTTGCGTCCAGACGGCGGCTTATCTGTTCGGCCATCTCCCCTTCAAACGATAAAGCCTAAGGTAGGCCGGATTAGTCGAGCGACCCAATCATACCTCTCTGTTGCAGAATAGGTCTCTCTATCCACAACCAAAGCCGCATCAGATTACCCTCAGTTTCCAGGTTTTGGAGAGGCTGAGCAAGCAATCCGGCACGTCCCGGGCTCCAAGAATTCAGGGGTCTTCGGCAAACCTGCCATGGCAGGCTCAGGGTAAACCCTTCAGCATCCGAGGCCAGTAATAGCTACTATACTTGTGAGTGCACAGCCGTAAAGACGTAAATAATGACAAGATTGACAATTGAAATGGTTTCGGTCCTTGCTCTTGATTAGGCGCGTGAAAAAGGCAAAGGCTTATCCAACGGGCTGGCCTGCTTTGATCCCAGAGGTGGAGTGGTTATAAAACCTGTAAAGGTTGGTCCATAAGACTTTTTGATAAATCCCGAAAGGCTTGAGAGATATGAAAAGGTAAATGAGAGATGAAAACTAGGACGATGAGGAAGATGGAAGGAAGACCTCCTGCCTCCTGGAAGAAGTCATCCTCCGCTCCTACCTTGTCAGCGGGTATGCAGTTAATGTTTCTTTGGTGACAGACAGTGAACATTCTGCTTACAGACTAATATATTCACACAGAGATCGATGTACTTGCACAAAGTAATATATCCATAGAAAGATCTCGTCTGTGAAGCGATAGCTTCGCAATTCTACAAGGGCCATCTTCGATTCGATCCAACGGAACTTATTCAGGTTCCCTTTACTCAATTGAGGCTGCTTAGTACGGCCTAGGGCTAGTTATGCGGGTGCTTAGAGAGAGATACTTGAAAATCTACAAGGGTACATAGAAGTCATTAATAGTATATGTATAAAATTACTCAGACAGATATCCAAATAGTAGCTTAAAAGAGTACTCCAAAAAGGTGTAAGGGACCTGCTGGGCTACTAAGGGCGCCTCCACAACGCCTCTGTCCAGTCAAAGTCATCTGCAGACAAGCCCTCGGATCTATAATCTAAATCTATATCCCGGATGTGCAGAAGTTACAGAGAAACATAAGTCAATAGAACAGGCGTCGACCGTAGCGGGGGATGGTGCGCAATGACCTCGAAAACAACAAGACCACCAACGGCAGCGCGGCCCGTCACAACCCCCCGCTTGCCTTCCGGTTGGCCTTGGCCTGCATCCGCCGCATGGCCTCCCGATGCAACTCACTCATGTCGCCGCCGCGCGGCGGGCCTTCCCCTGCAACGGCAGCGGTGTGGCGGTGGTGGACCAACGAACTGTGCCGCTGCAGCGACTGAACGTGGGGCGGGCTGCGATCGACTCCCGTGGCCATGCCTACGGGCCCATCCGGCTGTTTTGCGAGGGGGTCCCGTTTGTCCCTCAGATCCTCCAGGATCGATTCGCGCCAGGCCGCCATCGCAGCCGGCATGTTGCTGGAGGATTGGCCATTGCTGGGGTGTCTTCTGGGTACTGCTGGTGGGCTGGGGATATGTGCTTGCGGTGGGCTTTGAATTGTCTGCTGGTGTAGCAATGTGCGGCGCTGAGACAGTGGCATGTTGTCGTCCGTCTCTTCGAGGTTGGGGCCGGCGAACGAGTACCGTGGTGGTTGGCTGTCGAGCGGCGCTTGCCAGGAGCCGGAGCTGTTCCGCGAGAAGGGATCGAAGTTCAGCGAGAAGGACGACAAGCGGTTGCGCATCATGTCCTCCCGCACGGCTATGAGCGGAGGTGGTCCTCTCCACCGTGGCTTAGGAGGCTCAGGCTCGTCTCTGGGCTGTTCCGCCCCGACAGCATTGCCCAGGTGCAACGGATCGGTTGGAGGAGGCGATGGCTTCTTCTTGGACCGGCTTGGGTGAAGACCCTGGTGCAAATATGGGTCCCCTGAAATTCGGTGACTCTTAGATCTGGATAGGTCTTTGACCTTGCGTTCTACAGCCGGAGGCGGCTGAGCATTCAGCGGCGTCTGCAATAGCTCCTCCACGTTGACCGGTGCTGCGACTTCCTCTACTTCGGGGACAACTTCGGGCTCCTCCTCTTCCATAGGCTTGATCGGTTCGAGCTCGGGCATTTCTGCATCAGCGAGGTGTTTCGCC